CCACTGAATGCCATCAACACTGAATGTCCCTACAATGAATGTCCCTACACTGAATGTCCCCTACACAGAATGTCCCCTACGCTGAATGCCCCCTACACTGAATGTCCCCTACAATGAATGTCCCCTACACTGAATGTCCCCTACACTGAATGCCCCCTACACTGAATGCTCCCTTACTAGTCAAAGGTCACAGCCCCCCCCCTACCCTCGCAGTCGCCCGCCCCTCATGTTGACAGTACCCCCCTCTCCCCCGCAGATCTGGGTGGGGAGTTACCCGCGCCCCCGCGGGCGCCAGTGGGTGTTCGGACAGTTCGACGACGCGGTGTTGCCCGCGTGCGTCCTGCTGCTGGAACGCGCGGGGGTCTCGCCCGAGACACGGGCGGACCCCGTGGCTATATCACGAGCCATCTCCAGGATAGTGAGTGTCACGGGATGAAATTTTGTCACGGGCTAGGATAGCGAATGTCATGGGCCAGGATAGTGAGTGACACGGGTCAGTATTTTGTCACGGGCTAGGATGGGGAGTGTCACGGGCAAGGATAGTGAAATTCTATATGTATTCTGACATCGATGTGATATAGCTTTATGTCTATAATGTTCATAATATAATTTTATTGTGATTGCATCCATGATATATCATTTCTAAAACTAGCGTAGTCATTGCCTTCAGATGAACATGTTCGTTTTCTAAGAAGTAATCATTCATAGAAAACGTACTTCTAACGGGTACTTCAATAAAAATATATCTCTCAATTAAACGAAACTGCCGATTGAGAAGCAAAATCTACTTTAAGATTTCACAATCGAAGTTGAGTTTATTAAGTGAAATTTTACTTTGCTGGGGTAAATCTAGATTCTTTTTGCACAAGGCATTCGTGAACTTTGATATAAATGTGAGAAATAAGAATCACTATATAAGGCATAAGGGGCAGATAGCTTCGGGTTCGAGCTTCAGTTAATTGTAAAAATGTCTAAAATGTTAGATACAGGCCAGAGTTTCGAATTTTTTTAACGACTCTGATATTATATTATAATATCCGTAATTATTATATTAAAGTGAACGTTTATTAGCCACACAACTGTAATTTGGAATTTTGATTAAGGCGGTCTTGCAACACTATGAGGCAATATAATGAGAGTGACATTATTATTGTTATTAATATTATTATATTATTACTTTTATTATTATAATTAGTATTATTATTGTAGTATTGTATATATAACACGTAAATTGTTTCAGGTATTTTATACAGTTTTTATATCTTATTATTATACCATTATATAAACATTATATAAATATATCATTTTTATGTGAATACATTTATTATTATCATTATAATTATTGTTAGAATCATTATTATTACTAATATTAATATTATTATAATTACCAATATTATTTTGTTATTGTTATCATTATTATTATTACTATTTTTCTTACTTCTATTAAAATTATTATTTTCATTATTATTATTATTATTATTATTATTCGTAAGGTTGAGCCGTCCAGCTTTACCATCTCTTAAATATCTGCAGGGCAGCTAGAAGGCAGGAAGAGTTCGTTCTATTGC